GCGTGCGGGCGTGCGGGCGAGCGGCCGGGCAGTCCCGTTAGAAGCAGCGCGCAGCCACCCTCGCCGGCGCAGGAGGAGAGAGCGATCGTGCCTAGCCCGCCGGGAAGATGCCGAAGACGGTGGGTGCTCCGAGCCCTCGTGCTGCGGGGGTGGCAGCTCCTGGCCGCGCCCGAGCCGGGGACGTCGATGTGGCGCCCGGAGGCGCGGGCGGCTGGGGAGATGAGCGCCCAGCGCGGCGCGGCAGGGCCCGGCAGGCGCCGCTGGGCGCGGCGGGGCCCGTCCCGTTGGGGCCTAGGGGGTAGCGGCGAGGGCGCGCTCGGGCGGCCGCGGAGATGCGGCGGGCGGGGCGGAGAGCGGAGCTGCTCTCTCCTTCCCTCCCTCCATCTTGTGCTCCCGGCCCTGGTCGGCCGCTTCCTGTCGCGGCGCGATCCGCGCAGCCCGGGGGGGCGGCGGCCGGGCCGGTCCCGCTCCGGTTCGGGGGCGGTGGCCGGGCCCGGCCCGGCGGCGCTCGCTAGCGGCCCGGTTGTGCAACTCCACTCCAGAAGCTGCCGGTCCTTTCTAAAATGTCGTCGTTCTGCTCGGTGAGGAGTGTCTCCTTCCCCTCCTCACTCGTGGCCAGTGCTGCCTTCTGCCCACCTTGCCCAGGAGCTCCTGAACTCCGTGATGCACTCTGAGCTTGAAGAAGTGTTTTAAAAGCATATGGAATAAAGCTGTTTAGAACATGGTGGAAATTAATTAATTGTATGGCAACTTCTCCCGAGCTCTGTAAAGAGCATAGGTTTGGGGTTTTCGCAATTCAGAATAGTTAAGAGTTGCCAGGGAGCCTTGTCCCAGCTTGACTTGAAGTATTTCAAGAGAACTCAGTAGTTCAGAAAGCCTTGTCAAGCCTGTACTTGACCCTCCCTCTCCTAGCTGGAGTGTAATGACTAATAAGTACTTTAGTTCTTTTTCTTTTTTCTTTTTTTTTTTTTTTTCCCTCCCCATCTTAATCTGTCCAGGCTGGAATCGAAGAATTGGTTCTTGCCCTTCATTGATAAAACAGGAAGGAGCAGGCTGGAAGACAATTGAAAGCTGAAATGAATCCATCCTGATTTTTTTTTTCTGGATAGTTTAATTATACCACTTTACAATAGATAGTGCCTGACTGACTTCTGCTTTTCCGTTTGTCTTAAGCTAGGTTATTGTGTAACTTTGTGTGTTTTTAAAAACTCAACATCTTAAAGGATATTAACTCCACTCTTAAAGGCTAAGAAGACAGTATTTTCTGAAACTTTAAAAAGGTGTTCTTTTCAAACATTAGTAATGATCAGTGTATGATCAGTGTACAGTTACCTCTCACGCTCCTTGCAGAGTGGTTCTGCTTTCAGAGCTTGAGGAGATAAAGAAGTTGGAGGGCTTTACTGTGGTACTGTGGGTCTCATGCTCTGGAGCTACAGAAAGCTTTGGGGATGTCTCTGTCTCCCGCGGTATGGAGCTGCAGCCCTTCTCTTATAAAAGCCAGTAGCCTTCAGCTTCCTGCCTCATCTGCTCTAACTGCAAATTCAACTGAAATGTTTTAAATACTACTTCTTGAGCTGTGGTTTGGAGGAACAGGAAATGCTGGCATAACTGTATAATCAGTTCTCTATGTGAAAGAAACATGACCACTAGTGTGCTAGTTTAAGATTTGTTAATAGCTACTTAATTATCAGTAAAATACAAGTGACTTTCCTTAACCAGGGTCAAATATAGGTGAAACTTGAGTAGCCAGAGGTAGCTATGTGTGGGCTTCATCACAAAAATAAATCCATTGTGAAGAAGACAGATGGAGGAAATGTTCCAGAGACCAGTCCTGGCTGGGCGGGAAAAACATTTGTCTGAAGTGTTTGGTAGCTCTTATCTTTCATCTCTGCAGCATAGAGAGCATGCTGCTGTGGGTGCTGCTTGGTCTGAGCAGCAAAGCATCTTGACTTCTGAGTCACCGCCCTTCACTAAGCCAGGCTAAATGTTAACACATCTAGCTAGAGAGTACTGGTTTATTGCATGAGATTTTGTCAAAGCAGTACTATGCTTTGGTGTACTACTAATAGAAATCCAAGATTAACTCTGGTAATCTTTGAACTAGTGGCATGTGACTTGCTGCTGTGCAGCATGTTTCTGGATGCTGGAGTTTGTGTAGGAAGTCCATCATGAACAGGCCCGTGGACCCGTGTACTTTCTGCAGGACAGATCCCCCTAGGCTTCATTATCTAGGGTGCCGTTGTTGGTAAGCAGCCACTTCATATGGATAACTTTTTTTTTTTTTCCCCCTCCTCTCTCCTGGAATGCCTGCAATCTAAGCAGCTAAAGCACACGGGAAAGGCCATGCAATTGTCCCCCACCTCTCATCGTGCAGAGGGATGGAAGTTATCTTCAGTGCTAAGATGCTTCCTGTGAGCTCTTGCCAAACTTGGTGGAGTCTGTCTTCCCCAGAGAAGTCTCTTGCTTAGCCATGAGCAGGTTCAGCCTTACAAACTGCTGGTGAGTGCTCCTGTTGCCCTCAAGCCATTTTGGAGATGGCAGAGTAGAAAGCCCCGCTCTGTCACAAATCCCTGTAGAACTGAATGAGCTTCTGTGCTGTAGCTTGTCTGACCTTGTAGTTAATTGCCTGAGTTTATTGCTTCCACCTCACAAAAGCTGGTGGGAAGTGACCGCTTTATACCAATCATGTCTGTTTAATGAACTGATATTTTCTTGTATTTTTAGCTAGTAGAGAAAGCAGCCCTTCTCTATCAGGATTCACTGACTTTTGTGAGTATGTTGGCTTAATGGCTAAAGGGATGGCAATGTCCCTGAGCACTTGAAATGTGGGAATCTGATGCTTATGAAGTGTGCGTTCAGTTCTTAGATGCTCTACTGCTAGGGCTTGAGTAGTTCTGTTTTAGATGCTGTAGTTCTGACTCACTGTAGAGAAATGGATTTAATCAGATAATCTTTTGAATACAACAAGTTTCAAGTGAGGGCATAGTCAACTTTGGACACCCTGTATTAGCAGAATTGTTTCTCTAGATGTTCAATTTGGCAGTTTCCAGGTTTCTTGGGCAAAGTATTACTGCCGAAAAAATCAACTTTGAGAAATATGAGGTCTGCAGCAAAAATAAGTGAGGTTCACAGATCCCAACTCTTTAAAACTAGTTTATTTTTTTAATCTTTCTTCAAAGAGCTCGTGTGCAGTTTAAAGGGATGATCCTAGTTCCCAATGGGACTGCAATTACCTTGAAGTGTATCTTCCTCTGTTCTTAGGAACTTGTGAATCCTGATGGGAGAAGGTAACAGAGACCCAGGCAGGTACCCCAGAGGAACCCCTGGATAACTGTTCTTTTAATCTGTAGTAACTTGCTAGGAAAACCTGCAATAAGATGATAACAACGTAGCATTCTGATGAAATGTTCAGGAGATCTTCTTGTGGAATCTGTAAAGGACTTGGAAGATTGAGTGGACAGTCATGGGATCCATGACTTGTAAGTGATGGACTTAATTTTGATGTCTTGGATTTGGATCTTGTTGTGCTATGAAGGAACAGTAGAAGCATTCATGTTTTTTTTCCATCTCAGATGTTTTAAATGCTGTTTCTCTCTTCTTCAGCATAAGTGTGGCAGTCCTGACTGAATTTGTCTCAAACTAGCACTAGTTTCAGACATCAAAGCTTCTTTAACTTCCATTTCTTACTGAGTTGCAATAAAAAGGTATGATTCAAAGTGCTCAGAGTTTGTTTGATGAAGCCTGTTTTGCCCCACTCTGGGAATTTCTTTTGACTGTACTGCATAAGTGTCAGTCATCAGGACATGCTGAAAGTCCTATGCATCCTGCTAAACTGCTGGACTGGCATACAGTGAATAACTTTTTGCCTCACCTAGGATGTTTCAAACTAGGAAAGGCCTTTATGTGTTGGTCTGTATTGTACTCATGAGCTTGGTTCTTAGATGCTACAAGAATAACGGGATTCTAGCTCCTGTTTGGGCGAATCATAGTGACAGTGAGCAAAAACTGCTGCGTGGTATTCATGAATTTTCTTTGATGAACTTAAACCAGGAGTTAAAAGAACACCACTGGCAAACTTAGTGCTCACTTTTACACGAGGGTATGATACAATGTTTATTTTCAGGAGAAATATGCAGGAAAACTTCATAGGCATTTGTGAGCTTATTGAAGTAGCTGAGAAACAGATAAATCTGTTTCTGTTACTCTTTTAAACTACATAGTAATATCTAGTTTGACACCATAGGCACTCACTTAAGGTAGGTTTAGAGTCAAATCAGCCAAATCAGTACATGTTCATATTTAAAAACACATGCAGTCAGATGACCCTTCTTACAAGTGTAATGCAGAAGCTGATCTGCTGTCAAGAGCAACACTTCTAGCTTAGGAGCAGTCGTGAGGTCTGTCCTGGTTCTTGAGGATGTTTTTTGGTCAGCTGTGCATAGAGGGGAAAAAGCTCTCTGCAGTAACCAGAAAAGTTGCCGTACCAGCAATAAACTCAAAATGCTAGCACTGTAGGATTGCCTACAACTTTTAACACTTGAAGCAAACGCATAGTTTAGGGTTTGTGGTAGGTTTGAAAGATTCAAGCAAAATTCTTTACTTCATAAACAAGTCTTCCATTTAATGCATGAACCTCACCTGAAGTGAGTTGGCAGTCACAATCCTGTTCTCCAAATTCTTAACATGACAGGTTATTAGGGGTAAGAGGATTTTTCATGTTGGGGGTTCCATGAAATCTAATATGTTGAGTTTTCATTTTTTGACTTCTAGATTTGCTGCTGGAGGCAGATGAGCTAGCTTGATGGGTTGTGCATAGTAAGGAAATCCTGAGGAAAGCTTTACATCTCCCACTTCTACTGCTGTGGGGAAACAGCCTGATTTCTGGGACTGGTCATCACTTATTCCTTGAAAATGCCGTGTTCCTTATTGATGCCAGGTAGATCTGTCTTTGAATCTACAAGGATTGTCGTGTTCTCCTTGTGGTGACTCACTCTGCCTCCTCTAATAGAAGCTTGGTTGCACTACTTGCTGCTCTAGCCAGAATGCTTCAGAAGATGCCTTAATATGGACTCCCTTTGGTGGCAGGAAATGGCATTGCTGCCTCTGGAGACAGCCCTCT